GCATTATCTCCTCTGCTGCAACACCTTGATAATTCCTGTCTGAATGGCCTTCGTGGAGAACATATTTAAATAAACTCAATAGAGATTTCAGACAGATAGCAAGTATAATTACCAGCTTGTACAAATTAAACCGTGGTTTGTTCTGTTCTTTTTCTCCTGCCTTTGCTGCCCAGAGCTCCTGCTAATCATGTTCTTGCTGCCAGTGGCACGCCAGTCCTCGGGGCGTTTTCTGCACATGCCTTCGGAAAGCCTGTCCCAGTGCCCGGCGCTGGGGTGGACACTCGTGGGGCTGGTGTTTCGGATGAGGCTGCACGTGGGCACATGCCATCCTCGGCTGGTGGTGTCCCTGTGCCAGGGGCTCTGTGCTGCGCCGGCGAGCTGCAGGATCTGCCCCGGCACAGCCCTCGGGGCTGCTGTGCATCATCCTCCCCTGGACCAGCCCTGCAGCTTCAGAGAATCACAGGATGGTTTGGGTCGTAAGGGACCTTAAAGCCCATCCAGTCCCCCCCCCTGCCATGGGCAGGGACCCCTCCCACCAGCCCAGGTTGCCCAAAGCCTCATCCAGCCTGGCCTTGAACCCCTCCAGGGATGGGGCATCCACAGCTTCTCTGGGCAACCTGGGCCACTGCCTCACCCCCTGCACAGGGAAACATTTCTTCCTGATATCTCATCTCAATCTCCCCTCTTTCAGCTTAAACCCGTCCCCCCTCATCCTATCGCTATCATCCCTGAGTATAGCGTAACAGGGGACCAGGTCAGTGAAATACGGGTAACATCAGGTGTCCTGCCCTTTCATCAGGTCACAGCTGGCCAGGGCACAGCTCCTGCCATGGGAGATGCTCACATGGAGCCACCTAAACCCAGAGTCGGAGCTTCTTCTGCCCCAGTACCACGGGAGGACGTACCCCCATGGCTGGCCTAGGAGAGGTCAGGCTGAAGGAGAAGGTTTGAAAATTTGCTCAGGCCGGTTTTGTCTTGAGGTTTTCTTTGGACTGAATTGTCCGTGCATCCAGGGCTCACCCTGGGCATGTGCATCCTCTTGGGACCAGGGTGCAGCCGTACCCCAAGGAGCTGATCATTCCTCCCCTGGGCTGTTCAGGGAGTTTCTGAGTGTTAGATCTCTGGGTGGGTTGCTTCTCTAGACCCCGTGTGGTGGGACACAATCCTGCACATTGGCAAATCCCACGAGACAGGTACGGTGAAGGCAGCGTATCCTATTCACTTTCATCTTTTCTCCAGCCCAGATTTGGGCGCTGAACATTTGTATGCCAACAGTTTGGCCAGGGCAAGAACATCCCCAGAAGCATGAAGAGCATCTCCACGGGTGGGCGATGGGTCCAGGATTTCCCGGGATGCAGGCACAGCCCCTCCGCCCTGCTCCCCAGAGAGCTGGGAAGCAGCCACTCACCTCAACCCTCTGGTGCCTCCGTTTCCCTTGGGTTGAAGGGAGCTGCTGATCCATCCCAGCCTCCCAGGTCGTCTTCGGATACTATAGCGATGGGGTGATGCAAGGACATGGACCGGCTGATTTGCATCGAATGCAAAACGTCCCCCAGACCTGAGCCTTTGGGCTATCTGGTTTCGTTCCCCATCTCTGGGGCGAGCCAGATATAGAAATGGGTTCATGCGAAACAGCACCGAGTCTTTATTTCAGAGCTGGGCTGGAGCAAATTAAAATGGAGCGTGTTCAAAAGCCAGCTTCCCTGGCTGGCAGACAAAAATAATCAATTTCCTTGAAACAAGCACTAAATATTAATGAGAGGCGATGGTCTGCCCTGCACACAGAGCTGTAAAGAGCATTTCCCGTTGATCAGCTGCGGAGGAGGCAGGTCGGTGAGATGAAATTGCTTTTCGAATGGTTATTTGTGGCCCTTCTCGAGGTGGCTCGGGAAGGTTTGCCTGCCCGAAAAAAGCAAAGAAATCTCAGAGCATTTCCATTTTGCATCAGAGCAGCCACTGAGGATGCACGCTGGTGCTTTCATTTTTGTTTACGCGCTTGCCCGAGCGTTGGGGAGATGGCTTGTTTGGGTTATGTTGAAGTCAGCCCCGAATTTACATGGAGAAGGAGGCGATTCCCTGGGAACATCAGCCGGCTGCGCCTGCCCCCGACGAGCGCCGAAACCGTCTGCCAAAGGCAGAACATGGGACCCAAGAGCACTCCCTGGCTTTGCAGCCACATCCGCTCGTTGATTTATTTCCATAACGAGCATTGGGGGAAACATTAAAAAAATTACTTACAGCCCTCACCAAGTATCCTAAAGTGAAAGCAGAGGGCTGGGAGCTTTGGAAAAGGAGTCTTGAATTTTTCTATTGCTTTGACCCTTGGGTAAGTCAGGAAACTTTGTATTAACTCCATTTCCAAACTCAGAGGTTAGAAGAAAAAATAAAAATGCTCCCTTCCCTCCCTCACCAGGAGACACAGCCATGGTGTGGGGCTTTTCCCCGCCACTGCTCGTGGGTGGCATGGTGCCAGAAAATGGCACCCGGGGAATGACTGCAGCCCCCCCCAGGAAACCACTGCCGTGTCCCGCACGCGGCCGTGGAGGATGCTAAAAGCATTTCGCATCCCTCATGCAATAAATAGTAAGACATCGGCTCATAATTTTATAAAACCACTAAGCCAGCTGCGTAGCCACGGGTCGAACGAGAGCTAAAATTATCTAGAAACGACTAAAATTAGAAAATTAGGACTGAGCCAGAACTAATTAGTCGTTCAAGGAATAGAACCAGAACCGGAACAAATTAATTGTCGCTGAAATATCGCTGCGGGGCCCGGTGGGCGCTGCCGCTTCCAGCCCCACACAGGCTCCCAAGCTGCTTTGCTCGTGATGACTCCGGCACGGGCTCGGAAGGGAGCCGGGGGTCCCATCTGAAGGCTGCAGCAGCTAAATAGAAGTTGTTGTCTCGCTCCCAGCTGGGGAATCGGCAGCAACGTGATGCAGCGTGAGCCCGGCTGTGCTGGGAGCCATCCCGACGCAGCCGAGCCAGCTGCTGCCCAAAGGGCTCGGAGACACGTCCCCTCGCCCCACCGCTGCCCAGATGTGTCTTTTTTAAAGTGAGGGTAATTATGAGGCTGCCTTAACGACTGCCAGCGCACACGGGCTGTCCCCTCTGATCCCAGCAGCGCTGCCGTCTCTTTCGGCTCCAGCTCTGCCGCCGGCTGAGACGCTTTGCAAAGCTCTCGAAGCGAGCCAGGAGCTGCCATCCGTGCAGACGCTGCCAGAATAATTTCCAGGGAATTAGGGAGTGGGTACGGATAACTGGCACGTGGCTGCATTTTTCCATCTGTGACTCAGTCACCTGTATGGTCACTTCTTTTAACTTCCCAGAGGTGGTAACTCACCGTATATTTCTTTTTCCCCTCTCGCAGCCCTCAAGAGCAGCTCCCCTTTTAGCAGCAGCATGACGCACGGTGTTTTAAATTCAATTTAGAATACAAACTATTTATACCAGCCAGAAAAAGGCAGTGAAGCAGCTCTTTCTGTCATGAGTGGATTTGTAATTTCAGAGCAATCATTGCATAACTAATTGAATCAGCTCTCAGCATGTGAAATCAGTGCCCTGCTCATCGGAGGTTTTCATCCTTCTCCCCTCCCGAAGCCATCGGTCCCCTCCACCGCCATCACTTTGTGCTTCTGCATCAGCCTGGGCAGAAAGCGGGACCTGCAAAGCTGCTTTTGTCTGCTCAAATAGAACCAATAAATTACCCAATGCATTCAGAGCAGATGAATAGCTGGCTTGCAGGTGCCTCCCAAAAGCTGCCCAACCTGCACGCGAGGGAGTGGAGTGCATTTGAAGCTAATGAAGTGCCGGCCGTGTCTGGGAAGGAAATTGGTGCCGAGATGTTCTGCTGACTCCCACCTCCTGCTTCATTGCCCAGGTGTGCTCTGATGGGCTTGAATTTTGTGTCCGAGCCAAACCCCAGGCTCAGCGCCTGAAAATGGAGCCTAAAAGAGGCGATAAATACAGCGACAGCTTCCTGAGGGGTCCGGGAAAGGTAGAAAGCAGAGCAGCTGCGAGAATTTCCATCAGCTTGGGAGTGAGGGTCCTAGAGATTTTGCAGATTTGGGAGATTTTGGGAGGTGCTCCAGCCACCAGCATGCAGCAGCCTCCCAGGGTGAGAGGGCACCTTCGCAGCTGCGAGGTGTTTTGGGCAGGAGCCCATCAGCTTCTGCTGCTCTGCAGAATGCGGAGCTTAAAATTGCAGCCAGAGAAAAGTGTGCCGTAAAGGATGCTGTGCCTCCCCGGAGGTGCTGCCTGCGTGCAAGTCCTGGGCTGATACTGACATGCTGTGTGGGGTGGGTTGAGACAGCCATGCAGGGATGGGTGAAGAGCATGGGTGAGCCCTTAATTGCTGTAATTGCTGAGTGCTAACGAAGGCTGGCTGGTGCAGCCTGTAGAAGCCCCAGTGCTCTGGGCTAAGCTGGTAGGGCTTAATCTGGGGGAGTTTAGGGGGAACTGCTTGTAAGCTTTTCTGGAAATGAGCAGGAAAGGGTTGTTCCTGACAGGTGTGATCCCTACAGCTGGATGTAGGAGATGGTAGAGCTCAGAAAATGAGAGCTTGGTGTCCCTGTGGTCCATACCCTTCTCAGGGATCTGCTTTTCTTCCAGGAGAGCGATACTGTGGTCCCTGGCAGGGGCTTGATCGCTTTGGTGGCCTGGGGACAGCCTTAGCAATGTGCTTAGCTTTGTTGAATATGTTATCCGAGCCATATGTCCCCCAAAACTGATGTGTAGCGGTTTGTTTTTTTTTTTCCATGAGCTAATGCCTCATTGCTGCTGGCTGGCCTGGTGAACAGGGCAACGCAAGCCCTGGCGGGGGTGGCACGGATCGGCGAAGGAGCTTTCATCCCCAGGCTTGGTTTAAGCCGTGTCCCATCACTGGTCTCTGCTTGCTTCTTGCACAAAGCCACGCAGACGGTTTGTGTCCCCATGCGGGGCTCGCTCCTGGGGCAGCACGTACCCCCAACTACCTGCTTTGTTTTCTGTTGTCTCTTCAGGTAGCCAGATGGGAGCACAAAACGCGAGCGCTCAGCCAAGTCTTCGGCTCTCCACGTACCGCCTGTTGCTGCCTGGGTGCCGTTATCCTGCTGCTTAACTGTGTGCGGAGCCATTGGTAAGGAGCTGACCCTACTGCTGTGTACCGGTGCCAAGAAATGCCCCTGCGGGGACGGGGAGGATGAGGGATATTTGTTCTGCAGCGCTGGATCCGGCCCCAGCGTATTGCTTTTACAGGGTTGGGTACCTCCAGCCAGCAGCAGATTCATTCCAGGGTTTGTAATAAAGATAAAAGATGCGATGGTGTGGCCAAAACCATTAGTGTCAACAGCCATTGAGTGTCGCAGGTTGCCTAGCTCAGCTCTCTGGGGAAGGTTTTCTCCTGCCCTGTGAGCAGCCCAGGTGACAGGAGGGCTGTTGGCACAGGATGGATTGTATGTAACAGCAGAATTTTTACATTTTCTCATAAAAATCATAAACAAAATGAAATCTGTTTTTAAGAAGCTGCAGTTTCCTGTGCAGAAGAGCAGAGTTATCTGTGCACTTAGCAAGCAGGCTCTTTAAACTCCTATCTGTGATCTCTTTAAATGCCTCCTGTGCTAGCTCATGGTATTGTGTGACTGATGCGCTGTACACCATGGGAATACGTCCTTTGACGTTCTGAGCGCAGCAGCGAGGTTTACTGCAGATTTCCTCAATGCCGGCAATTTATCTGCGATCTGGTAAGCTTTATCTTCAACCCTGTTAGGAGAGACAGGCTCTCTTACTGAATTCCCAGATTCAATTATCCCAGGGTCAGAGCTAATGCGTTACTTAGTACTTTGGGTAATTTCCCAGGCACAGACATCTCAGGTTGGAATTTGCACATGTAGTTAAGAGCTTTGCCTTCCTGGAAGTGACACCAAGACCTGCCCTTGCCCTTCTGCGTTTGTCCCAGCTACTGCTTATTGCAGAAATGAAGAAAGCTTGCAATGAATGGGGCAGTAATTGAATGCAGGCGGTGCAGAGGGCGTGCCTGCGTTCTGCTGATGTCTCAGCGACGCAGCAGGCTCGGATTTTTGCTGGGGAATGTCTCAGCAGTCTCTTGCCCAAATGACAGAGTCACTTGTTGTCTGGGAAGCAATGCAAAGCCTTGTGCCTGGCTCTAATTAAAACCACAGCTGATGGAGGGACAATCTCCGTTCCCAGTGGTCCTGCTGGCTCCTGGGTCAGCGAGGTTCGCTGGGTCACAGCGAGGCACTGATGGGAAGCTGCTGGGAGAGCAAAGAGACCTCATCTGTCCCAGCTTTCCCATCATGCTTTCCCCCTGCAGACCCCTCAGTGCCCTGCCGGGGCTGGCATCACTGGCTGTGGTCTGTGGCATGAGTTTGTGGGTGCTCTGGGGCTCACCGGGGCTGGCCCTGAAGCCAACAGCAAAGTCAGCCCAGGGGGCTGGAAAAGCCCCACTTGGACCTTGGTTTTGGAGGAGAGGATGTAGAAGATGGGGCAGCTCATCCCCCAGCAGAACACCGATGAGATGCCAGCCCACCCCGATGGGCCAAGGCCATGTCAGATGATGGAGATGTGAGGTTTGTTCTGCCCAGGTGTTTCGTTCAGCATGGCTGGGTTGTTCCCTTGCCTTGCCTTGGCACTGAAGTTAGTCTGAGTGATGGCCAGACGGCTTTAGAGGCTGTTCAAGCAAGGCAAGCCCTAGACTGTGGGAGTGGTGGGATGGCTTCAGGGTGGGCATCAGAGCAGCAGCTCCTGGAGCTGCCCTGGAACACACCTGGGAGACCCACTGTCTGCATTCCCAGCTCAGGGAGCCCTCCAGGGCTGCCCACGGCTTTACTGCCCAGGCCCAGAGAGGTTGTGGTGTTTGGGAAGGATTCATCCTGTCTCTTGCCCTTGCGTGAAGATATCTGCCAGGTCCAAACTGGGGTTTGGCTGGTCGGAAAGGTGGTTCTCCCCCTTGGCTCTGGTGAGACCCCCCCTGCAGTGCTGCATCCAGCTGTGGGGTCAGCACAGGA